GCCATATGAAGTTCAACAAGAGCAAGTGCTGAATTCTGCACCTGTGATGGGGCAACCCTGGATCTAGGGATTGACTGGGGGATGAGAGGCTGGAGAGCAGCCCCACAGAAAGAGATCTGGGGGTTGTGGTAGGCAACAAGTTGAATGTGAGCCAGCAGCATGCTCTGGCAGCCCAAAGGGCCAGCCATGCCCTGGGGTGCATCAGACCCAGCACTGCTAGCTGGTTGAGGGAAGGGATTGCCCTGTGCTGCTCTGCCTGCTGCAGCCTCACCTCGAGTACCATATGCAGTTTTGGGCACCACAGTATAAGAGGGACATAAAACTATTAGAGAGAGTTCAGAGGGCTACAGAGGTGGTGAAGGGTCTAGAAGGCAAGACATATGAGGAGTTGTTGAGCTCAGGGAAGAGGAGAATGAGGGGAGGCCTCATGGCGGCCTGCAGCTCCCTCAGGAGGGGAGCAGAGGGGCAGGCGCTGAGCTCTGCTCCCTGGGGACAGTGACAGAACCCGAGGGAACGGCATGGAGCTAGCACAGGGGAGGGTCAGGCTGAGGGTTAGGGAAAGGGTCTACACCCAGAGGGTGGTCGGGCACTGGGACAGGCTCCTGAGGGCAGGGGTCATGGCACCAAGCTGCCAGAGTTGAAGAGTTTGGACTCTCAGACATAGGGTCTGGTTTTTGGGTGGTCCTGTGTGGAGCCAGGATTTAGACTCCAAATGTGGGTCCCTTCCAACTTGGGATATGCTGTGATTCTATGATATGACATGAGACTGCAAATCCACATTCTTCTGGAGAAGCAGCTGGAGTGCACAAGACAGAGGGCATTTGAAACAACACTAAGATGCCTCTGTTTTGAAAACTGGTCCCCACTCCCCTTCTTTTAAATCTTTCAAAAGCAATTTACTCAAAACACATTTGCATGCTGCTGTATGTGTAATTTGCATCATGCACTCTCTGACCGCATTACTTTAATTATAACAGTCCTATCTGCCCTGATTTTATCCTAAGGCAATTTTTAGTCCAGATGAAACAGTCCTGTGAAGAGATTCTTTGACTCTACAGCATGATTTACTTCATGCACTGCTTTTCCAAGAAGAAAAATTTAAAATACATTCTCATAGGTGCAGAGAGCTTGATGCCACATGACATTGCCAATAACCTATGCAATTTTCCCCCTTAAATCATCAATATGAGTCCTGTTAAGCTCAAGAGGATGGCATGGCTCAGTCCTGAATGAATTTCTCACAGTCAGGGATATGTGCTGGAATAAATTAGGGGAAAAATAGACTCTAGGTAAAGATTTTCCTTAGGCAAACTGTTGAGAGCACTACCAACACAAGGCATAGAAGGGGGCAGGATGAGCCCGTGGCTCTCCATGCCAGCTGACAGCCCGGTAATATTAGCAAGGGCAAGAAAGCACGGGCTTTCTGAGGCAAGAATGCACCCAAAGAGAGTGCTCTGAATGCTCCTGAAAGTCCCCACATCCGCACGCATCTGACACACAGGGAAAACAACTCTAAAACTGCTTCTCCTTCTTGCCCTTCCCCAGTAAACTGCATTGAGCAGAAGAACAGCAAAGTGACTCAGTTATACTGTGTGTTCTCTAGCTCCTGTTATCCTTCGTGTATTCCACAATTTCAAGCTGCTCTCAATAATTAATAAGAAATAACACTGGAGTGCTTAGCTGAGCTAAACTCTTTGCAAGTTTCCCATCAGTGCTGTTTACTTTCATTTAGTGTCATTGTTACACCAGAAATCCTTTTGCTCCAAAGAGACAGGACACACACAAGAAAAGAAATGCAGCATTCAGGCTTCCTTGTCCTTAATTTGCCTTGGGGCAAGTCGCAGCTTATGCTGTGTGCTATGGTCTGTACCACCATGTGCTGGCTAAGAACTCTGCTCTGCCTGAGCTCAAGGGAAGTAGCAAAGCCACAAGTACAAGATCAGCATTTTTTAAACATAACTCAAATCATCGTTTCTGGCTTTATTCCCAAGGGAAATGGCTACAATATATTAAACACAGCACGCTTGGATAGGGAACATGGACAGTACAGTAACCTGAAAAATTCATGTTCAATAGCAGTCGAAGTGACCTTACTGAATCTAGTGATGCAGTCAGCTCTCTTTCCCATCAGTTCTGCTGGCTGCAGTTAAAAGGAAAAGAGAGTACTCTAAAATAACTTGTTTACTAATCAGAGGCAAAAGATGCCTGGTTGTACACAGTGAGAAGCTGCACAACATGAGAAGGGGCAACACTGGCAAATGAGAGAGAACTGGGAAGAGTTCTGTGAATCTTTTTTAACATTTTTTTTTTCTGATTTTAATTGCTGTGGCTATGCTATTTGGTGACACAAGTCCTGGAAACCTCAACACACAGGGCTAACCATCATTCTGCTTTTAGTCCTGTTCCAGCATCCTTTCCTTCAACTCAAAGCTGTTGCATTGTTGTTGTTATTACAATGTTATCATTACAGAAACTGTGTTTTTGCCTTGGATATTTTTCTGTCCTGGTAGAAATAAAAAAAAAAAAAATTAACTATTCAATTTTTCAATGAAAGGCTGTCTACTGACTATTTTGGCAAATTATTACAGATTGTTTAATTTTTTTGTGAGGAAAAACTTCACCTGTTTTCCAGTGGGCTCCTCCTAATGTTTCATCTACACTACAGTTTCCTCAATGTTGGGAATCAGTTTTCAAACAAAAATTTAATTTTGTTCGTCACTTCTTACAGTATGTGCAAATAGCACTGCTCTAAATAGCCAGTTTTCTAATCAAAAATGAAGGGACAGATTCACATGGGAGAATCTCCTGCACAGAAGCAATTACTAAAAAGCAAACATAATGGTTGCTTTTATTGACTTCAATAGCAGCCGATAGGTACTGTGTTTTTGATAGTCAGGCAGATGACTGAAAAATAAGACAGACAGAATGAATTTCAGGAATTTGCTTGTTAAGTTTTAACCGAGGGGATGTATCAAGAGAATACAGAAGGCTTCCACAATTCCCAAAACAATGTCTCCTTTGCAATTGTAACTCACCCTTGCTCCATCCTGTGAAAACTTGTATTTACCTATTTCAGCTTCATCTTTCCCTCACACAGAGGGCAAAATCAGAATTCCCTCTTAATTCCTGCATTAGTAGTCATATCGTTGCTGTGTGTGGCAAACTCCGGTCCTCTAGGGTAGCAGCACAGCATGGAAGTGATGTTGACAGGAGGTTCCTACATTTCAGTTGCAATTTAGCTCTAATGAGGCTAAGGTATTACCAGCTACTGCAATTTCAAATCTTCAAAAGCAAAAAGATCATGCAGCTGAACATATTGAGTGCTGACAACCAGTTCCGTTCTGGTGATTAATTAAGAAGCCTTCAGAGCAGTAAAAGCTCACCAAAGAGGTATTCCAAAAATAAATAAATAAAATAAAATAAACCACTGCAGCTTGTTTGTTTCCTTAAAGAACTGTCTTTTCTTAGGCTGCTTTCTCTAAGGCAGAGAGTACATCTCTGTTTTAATGTATTTTACAGAAGGCTTTTCACAGCTGATACAGGGAGCTGCAAATTGCCTTCACTTCCCAACCTCCTCAGAGACTACCTTGTGGCAAAAAGATGCATGAGAATATGAAAGAGAGGAAGGGGCAGATCTTCATGCAGAGGTGATGCATGAAGAGAGCAGAAAGTACCCAAGGAGGTGGGCTACGAGCAGCAGCTCCTACTGGGACAATTCTCCAGCAGTTATTCAGTGGGAACTTAATGCTGTTATTTCACATCTCGTTCACTATGCGTTATTTGAACAAAGTTAATTCTTTCCTGTATGCAAGAGGAGTTTAATTGTCCTAATGAGACTGGAAAGTTATTTCAGATGAGTAAGAAAAGACAGGCACGCAGTGAAGCTGGCAGTCATTTAGCGGGGCCTATTATATCCCTACCGTACTATGAGGAAGTTCAGGCTCCAGTTCACAAACCAGCAACGCGATGCAAGGATGCTGTGGCACCATTTATCAAGGGCTACACGTCAAACCAGCCCTGAACCTAGAAGTGCAGAAGGGCCCAAACTTGCAGCCCTCTTCTTGCCCTGCTCAGAAGGATCTGTACCCCCAATGCAGCTCACCTCCGTGGGAGATGGTGGTGACAGAGCCAGCACAAAGGTCAGTCCACAAATTATTGCTAAAGGTTTATCTAATGCCACAAACAACCAGTGGAGTAAAAGAAATGCTGTGAGACGCCTCCCCCAGCTCTGAAAAAGAGCAAGGAACATGTTCTTTAACTCCCTGTACTAAGACAGCACGGCTCTATTCATCAGCCGTGGGGAGCCTAGTCTGTATTTAGGAAATGGCATTTATAATGCAGTACTATGCTCTATGTCAGTTCCCACAGGACAGCCTGTGCTGTCTCCGTTGCTCTAGTGGAAGTGAACAGCTGCTTTCTAGATTTCCCAAAGCCCTGGTGCAAAATAAATCCTTCTCTCTCCACTTAATTTTAAAGAGCAAGTACAGTTGGGCAGGGAATATATGCAGGAGAGGAACAAAAGCAAGGAATACGTTGTTTTATATCATTTCAGTTTTGAATCATCCATAAAGTTATCATTTCAAGTACAAAAAATAAAAATTAAAAAGTAAAAATACCATCACAGGTCCAACCAAGTAACTGCCACAAGGTACAAACATCACCTCTCTCTTCCCTTCCCCAAGCTAAATTCACCCTTTCCTATTCCAAAGTCTTTACTAAAATGAATGGAAAAAAAAAATCAAACACATTTCAAACACATTTCATCCAAGAGAAAGAGGGCAATTGAAAGCAAACAGCGTATAGATTTACTTCAGTTCCTATAGCCTCGTCTTCACAGGGCTAAGGTCAAGATTGAATCGTTGTTTCCATTTCACTTCTTATTTTTAGCAGGTTTATACAGCTCTGCTGACTTAATATACCACAGGCTGAAATCCAGTTTACCAACCAGGAGAACCAATTGTTTAATCTGAAGAGGTCACAAAACTAGTCTCAGGGGTTACCTTACATTATTTTCATTTCTGGCCACGTCTGACTTTAAAACTCCGTCTTTTAAAAGCTGAGACGGGACTTTAGGTCCTTCCATTAAGAAAGCTGGAGGGGGCAGCCCCCTTGATCTTTTCATCCCCTTTCTATTCGTCCCACCTGTTTTTAAGCTTTCCTCAGAGTCCTCTATTTAAGCACATACCCACAGCAGAAAGAGGTATTGGTATCTGTGCTGAGACACATGGGGGAAGACAGTAAGCTATCATGATCTCTAATGCTCTTTTCTTACGGCGAGACTATTTCTAAGGTATTTTCACGTTTCCACCACCTGTTTACTTTCTTAATTATCACTGAATGCTTCAGCTCCCATATGCTTGTAGTTACAGTGCACCTCTACGTTCAGCCAGTTTTACTAATGACGGCAGGTCTGGAAAATTCACCTGGTGCCTGCACTTCACCTGTAGCTTAGCAGCCTGCTGCTGTATCCCCAAACACAATTATGATTCAACAGAGCAGTGCCTCATCTTTTAACACAAAATAAATAGAAAATAACACATATACCTATATACACCCATTCTTGTCTCTTATACGTGTGTCTGTATTTACAGACACACACACAAACTGCAGATTATATGTATTCACATATACAACAATTTAATGTCCTCTCTTCTTTAATCAATTATCCATGATAATCCATTGTATTCCCCCAGGTACTTAGTCATCAAAGCCACTTTAAACCTCTTCTTGAAGATCAAATGGCTCTAATCCATTTATTTACAGTTTACTGAGTTATAGAAAATTAATCAGGATCATAAGTTAGCTGCTGCAGCAAGCCTCTTCTGAAGCCTGCTATCACTACAAACAGTAATTCTCAGAGAGCCAACGGGATTGGGGGGAAAAAAGGAACAAATCTCCTGACGTCTGTTCCTCGCATCAGCCGCCGTCAATGACTGCCTCTCTCTGATCCTTGTTTGATCAAACCCTACTCCATCAAATCCATTTAAATGAATTAGCACTACTAAGGTAACAGAAGAGCTAATTAGTCTTAAACTTTGTAGTTAAGTTCTTCATACAGTGTCTTCTGGTGTCTGGCAGGCTAAGCAAGAGGTTTTCTTCTGAAGTTATTTGGGCACAATAATGCATGTGCGAGGAAGCATCTGAATTACACAAAAGAGACCCCATTTCTTTGAACTCTGTTGAAGTTTCACTTTATTGTTCCATGTTTTCATACAAATATTCCTCTCATCTCACATATTTATGTTTACTAGGCAGCCTACTGATGAATACCAAATGACCAACTTACTGGGTATGATCAGTACTGACCCACCAGACAAGGTTCCACAAATCTGGGGCCCGACCAACTATTACACATTCATATCTTTCCCATACATATTCACAGCAGTTCTTCTCTACAGCAGTAGGGAAACTGAACCAGCAAAACTGATAGACTGTGAACACCTGAATGAATTTCCTATTAATGCTGCAAAGCCCTAAGACATTATTAATGGTTATGTTTGCATACACAGACAAATACAGACACAGCAATCCCTGAAATGCTTTTGCAGCTTTTAGAAACTGTAGGAGCAGAGTGCGAAGATGAGGAAGTCAACAAATGTGCCATTGCCAACTGGTGCTGCAGGAGGAGTCCAAGTAGGCACAGTGTTTTTTCACAAAATGCAGCTTGACCAGGAAAGGAGAACTGACTTCCCACTCTTACTTCCCCCTCAAATTCAGTGGTACAGATTATCAAGTCTTCAGTTTTGCTTCTCCTCCAAAGAAGATATTACAACCATGACCTACATTTTCCAAATATATATAGTTCAATAGACATACTAAAGCTTTGCTGATACTGTAAGCAATCCTCAAGAGGAGATACCAAATAAAACTTTTCTTCCTCACAGAAGATGTAGATATGATGTCACCCCATGCAGAGATTACTCATGTCATTTTTTTTTGACGTGGTACCTCCAAACAATTTCACAAATGACTGCTTTATTTCCAATTATTTCAGTGGTTAAGTGATAACATCATCAGACTAGAATGTTGTCACAGGACGGCCACCCCCTCCTGACATATAATGCCTATTTACTTCTGTTACACCAAATAACGGAGGAGCCAGATCCTGTGTTAAAGGCAAAGTGTATCTGACAGTACCATTGCAACCTGGCTGCTACGGAAAAGAGAGTGCTTCCATGCTACAGCTAATTCCCAGACAGGCTACCTGCTAAAATACATTTTATTTTACTTTTTTAACACACTTTCATAAATCAGCTGGATCCTGATAGACTGGGATTCCATGTCTTAAAATTTGTATTGATAAATAAATGCTATTTAAGCAACTAGGCTGTTTGGTATTCATTTAGTAGAATTATTGAATAAAGGCACTTGGACCTAATCGATAGGAGTATGTCAAAAGGAGAAAATTAAAATAGATCCTCCTAATTTAATGTGACAATTTCTTCTGGCTCTCTGCCATGAAAATTTGTACCAACTTGTATCCTTGTACAATGACATATCAATAAGCATCTATTAGTAAGTCCGGGCATTTAATTCTTCGTTCGCATATTCCAGTCTGCTGATAGAGAGATTCTATCAAATTATGCAGCATTTGCACCAGAGTGCCTAAGCCTGCTTTTCCTTGCACTAATATAAATCTTCAGCAATAGTTAAATCCACACAAAAAGCTGTACAGGGGAAAAAAAAAAAAAAAAAAAAAAAAGTCAAGCCTAGTGAAACCAGTCTTCAATACCTTATCCTTTTTTTCCTGATTACAGTCCTACTTTATAATCACATTATTCATCTCCCAAAACAATGCAGTTATCAAGTAAGGTGTTCTGGTAAATCACAACAGAGCCCTCACAAATTATTCAAACCACTTTCAGTTTCCTTGATTGTATTCAGCTTCGGCACAGAGAGAAGAAAATGTGGATCCTGTGCCTGGTCTTAGCATCCCAGGGAGACTTGTTTCCTGCAGATCATCTTCAGGATCTCTTTCTATTCTCTGTATTTCCAGGTTTCATTTCTAAACTGCCCAGTCTAAAGCCAACTCAAAGGTCCCTAGCAGTACCAAAACACATCTTAGGCAAAATGCTAGGGGGGCGTCAAAGCTCTTCATAAATGTACAATAAATAGAAGCATAGAAATCCTATGAATTAGAGGGTATAGGTAACTTCAGAGAGGGAATTAGATGCACATTTCCCAAAGATGTATATACAAGTATGATGTTCAGAGCAAGCTTATTAACCTCATATCCTTTACTATATCCTAAAGGATCTCAATACAGGAACTCATAAAGCCATCGTTACTGAACCGTGTAAGCATTTTTCAGCAGAGCATCAAACTCTGCTATGTGAAGTCCATTATTCCTTTTGCCTAAGGGATAAACTCTGTGTGTATTTCCTGGATGGGGCAGGAAGGAAAGTAACATCACTCTTTCCAATCACTGATGTTCCCACCAAAACATGGAGATGGAAATGTGATTCTCCATGTTCCTGCAATTGCTGCATAGGATAAAATCAAGAGGGGCCTATAAACACCTCTCTCCCCTCCCAGTCACCTGTGAGGAATCTAAAACAAATCATACAACACATTTTCCAGCAACCAAAAGATGGCAGTGTTTCAGAGCGTTACGCATATCTATGTACAAAAAGGCAGCTTGTTATATGGCTACAGATAGCGTTATATGTTGTCCTCGGGTTAAGAAACAGCTGATTTGCGATTCAGAAAGCCAATGTTAAGGAAATGAACAAAACAGTTTTATGCCATTTCATTACAAGGTAATCCACTGCAAAACCTAGTAATGTGTTGTGAATATTCTTCAAGACAGGCAAGCCAAACCTATATCCAAAGTTATACATGTGCTTGTAGAATGGATGCATGTGTGTGACAGGAAAGGATAGTTTCCCTATTAAGTGCTCTGTTTAAAAAACTTTTCTTTGACAAGTTCTAGGCTTTGGCAAGAAAGAGGAGCTAAACTTCGCCTCAGAAATGTTGTAAGAACTCACCCTGATGCACGGTAACCAAACACAGGGAGGGAGAATCATGCATATACCTGTAAAAGTGTTGCAATTTGCTTTCAATTGTGAAAATCAGTCAAGAATCTAGCAGTTGTATCTTTTTAGCCCATCACAGCTTCCTTGTAACTTGGAGATGAGACATCATCATAAAAATGCACTGCCATTCTCCATCCCTTAAATGGAAAACTCGTTTCCACCTTCAGCATCTCTACTCCTATGACATTTACAGAGAAGTCTATGCCCCTCAAATGACTGCAGAGAACTACACAATCATTAAGCCTATTTTACTTGTCCTGCCACAGGTAGATTTCCAAGTGTTTGAGAACTTACAGTGTGTTCCCACACATGGTGCTACCCCCAATCTCCTCTAAATGTTCCAGCACACCAGACAGGTCTCGAGTGCTGCAAACCTACACAAAGGGGCTACAGAAGCATTGCAGAGGCATTCCTCATCTTCCCGTGTGACTGCCTGATTCTGTGTCCAGCTGCAGAAGCAAGTAACCATCTGTTTTCTCTCTGTACTCATTTCGCTGCTTTGTACATTTCTAAGCTTCTTGGTTCCACATCAGTTTTCACTGATACATAATTAAGAGTACCTTTGGTTTTCATTGCTTTTATGTGAGTATGTACTACAGGCCCCTTTTCTGGGTCCATTCCCAATGCACAGCCAAGCCCCTTCTGCAGTCTTTGAATCTCCCACGCCAGCCTTTTACTAGCTGTTTACATTTCAATTCTTTTTCCCGTGTTTTCTGCAGTTTCAAAACTCTCACTATTCCCTTTTGTCATTTTATTTCTGCAGATTTTATCTTGTCTTCATTGACTTTCCTCACCATACAGCCACCATGTGAGGGCAGTACACAACGCTCTTCTCAGCCGTGCTGGTTGCTGAGCTTCCTGAAATGCCTCCCACATCAGACAAGGTTTCCAAACACAGTAGTTGCTAGCTGGAATCTTCCTTGAATGTACAATGTGAGTATCACAGTTCACCTTTTGTCTTTTAATTATACAGCATAAGCCTGTTCTGGGGACAAACTGAGTTTTTGTGGTTGAAAGGTCATTTGTCTGTGAAAGCCCAGCTCCTCTGTTACTGACATAGGACAATTAGAAAGGTAATGAGGTAGCAAACTGGAGAAGGA